TTGGAGGTGTTGTTAACATTTAGACAAGAGAAAATCTAGTTAATACACTGAGAAAAACCTTACTTCATCTTACTTCTAAAGACTGAATTGCAACCAATGGGAAGAAGTTATATAGTAAAAGTAGCTACTAGCTCAATTTAAGTAAGATCTTCCTATTACACTTTTTGGAAGCTAAACAGGCTTTTCTATGTCCAGGGAAGGGTTTGTGGAGAAGTTGGACCTAATAACATCTCAGAGATATTAGTAGTGGGTGGCACATTGTATGAGCTGACTTCTAAAGTTCCCTTGAATTCTAAAATTGTATGAACCAGAGTAAGGAAACAAGTGGTACTCTTTAACTTACTAAGATGAGTAGAAAGAATTTTGGCTTTAGCCAGAAAGACAAAGGTTCAATTATAGGCCCTATCAGTTAGGAATGTGTAACACAGAGGCAAAGTTATTCACTAACTTTATGCTTCAAATTTTTTCAATGTGTAAAACTAATACCTTAATTTAGAAATTTGTTGCATAAATTAAATACACACACATCACAGACACACTTCCTGGCACTTAGGAGATGTTCAATATTTAGTAGGTATTATTCAAGTATTCAATAAATATTGTGTTTCAAAGGGTAATATTTTCTATATCATTTATTAATTATGGATATACCTAAAAAATGACTTGTTCTCTGCTATGTGTCATTTGTTTTTCAGACCTCAACAATGCATGCTTGGGATTCTTCTCCACTTCTATACTTTGTCACAATCCCTGTTTGTATGTAAGTAGATTTTATGAGGTTTTCTTTAACTTTGCTTTTGCTGTTTTGTTTCTGCACCTTTATTTGATCCAAAAGTGGGCTTTACTGGTAACACACATTGGCTATGTCACTGGCTTTGGCTAAAACATTTCTGCTAAACTGTACAATATATCCAGTTTAATCAACCACACTACCAGACAGATGTTTTTTCTCTCTCACAATGGCTAACTCACTGCTGAACAATCCTTCATGAAATATTTGAGTAAGTAAATCAAAACCTAGGGTATTTGATTAGAAATTTTGGTTATTAATGAGATAAAGATGGTCTGATATTTCTTCCCATCAAAAGTATCCCATTTCTTAATGAAACAGATCAATATTGAATGCTTCAGTCAATATTATCTACTCACCAAGCATTCTTCAAATGGCATGTAACTGCTCTTTTGTCATACTTCCAGAATAATTTGCAACTGTACAGATATTTTAGTTAGCAATTAAATATCAGGTTGTCTGTCAGATACTTAGTTGAAAAGTACACTGCTTAACATCCCAGTGTTTGGGACAGATAAGAAAGAAAAGTCTTTACATATTAATTAGTATAGAAAAAATATTTTTCAGGAATAGAATTTTGTGGAATAAAAAAATTTTGACAAAAAAACTTAAGCATATACAATATTTAGTACTAGATGAGCATTATCTAATTGCAATCAGATACAATAATAAAACTAGTTCTTTTTTTCAGTAGATAAAAAGGAACAAGAAACTGATACTTAGAACAAATCAAACAAATCACGAAGCACAGAATTTTAAAAAGTACCATAGCAGCATTAATATGCAGAATGTATGCTAAGGTTTACAGTATAAATTTCACTATTCTAATGTTAAAATAGGGAACAGGCAGATTATTTCCATACAAAATAATCTCAGAACACAATGAAATTTACCAGTAAAATACATTTAAAGCATGATTGAATATAATTCCACACACTGAAATTTAGTTACACATTTTTTAAAGTTGAAATTTAAGATAAATAATAAATCTTTTAAAGAAGTCTATTAAAATGCAACATAAAATTAAACGATTAAAATTATAAGGCAAGAAAAGAGCACTTTATGGCAAAATCAACCCAATAAAAAACAAAGTCAATATATCTTAAAATGTAAATTCTAGTTTAAGTTGAAAGTAATCACTAATAACTCATTAATGATTACAACTCATTAACTGTGGTAAAATAAACATCACAGGCTCTTGTTATGCAGAAATTTTATTTTTAACACAGCCTATAGAGTTGATCATCATATTATTATAAAATACTATTGATTTTCAAGAAATAATACTAAAACCTACCATTAAGTAGTAGGGAAAACACTGCAACACTTCGTTTTTATGAAAAGCACATGTTAGGACATCTTTCCTCATTTAGTAAGTTACTTTATACAACTAAAGGTCCATTTCAGAAGAATTACTACTTTTACATCGCAGAGGCAAGAACTTGATTAATAACGGTGAGAATCAAGTTCAGTGATAGTCACAGCCTGCTCAAGGAGAGCGTAAAGAAGCTTTCCATACATTTTCACAGGGTAAAAGGGCTGGGGGGACACAGGAAAGATCACTCTGCAGAATGGACCTTGAGTTTCATTTGGCTCTGCCTTCCATTAACAGTCTGGCTTGGGCAGACAAGTCAGTTAACTTTCTGAGTTTTAGTGTCTTCCTCTGTCAAGTGCACTTGGGCTCTTCCGTGTTACCTACAAAGTTAGGAAGAGCTAAAGGCAGCCCTAGTTTTACTTTTTAAAAAATAATGACAGAAAAATACGTAACTTGCTATTCATCAGTGTACTGTTTCCAGAGCTGAATTCCTAAGTCTCTGAAGCATACCCAGCTAGGGTTATACCAGTGAAGATCCAGATACTATAGTCAAAATGTCACTCTCTCCTCTCCCATTATTCCTCCACCTGCTCCTCCCCATCCTGCGTTATCCTCTCTTCTGGTGTGTTTTAAGAAGCAACGCCAGCAAACGGCTGTATCCATTGTAAACTTGAGGATGAAATCGTTTTAAAAGATGCATTTTCAATCAAATGTATCATCTGCTTCGCCAAATTCCTCCCAAATGGCTAAATTTTCATTAATACAATAAAAATGAGGTAACAACTTCGGAAACAGAAATGACCTGGGCCAGTTGTTTTGTTTGTTCTACTTGCTTAAAAAATAAAACGGAAAGATGTATCTATTCCCTCAGGAACATAAATGCATTACCCGCCCATTGAAAAAACAATTCTGCTGGTTCATTTCCCTGACACAACAGCTTCGTTGTCAGGCCCTCTCCAGCCCAGGCTCCAATGTCACCTAGTAATTTTATATTGATCACCTTGGCAGTGCTTGGACTCCAGCAGGCATAGTCCCTGTCTCCCTTACATTCCTCAAAAATAAATTAAATAAATAAATAAAACTCTACGAAACGCCACCGAACAGAGATTCTGTGACTTAGTAGACAAATCCCACGTCTTCCCGCCCTGTGTTAGGCAGCTGCAAATGTTATTTTTTCATCGCTTGCATAAAATGGAAGCGAAACGTACCAAAACCCTATATTTGAATCCTAGGACAATGAAGCCGACAGGAAGCCACTCTCTCCTCCCCCGGGTTTACTACGGAGCCAGAGCCTCCGCGGGGTGCAGTCGCCTGGCAGGGTGCATGACAGCGCGTCTTCCACGCCCTCCCAACGCGTCCAAAAGGCTCCTCGCCTGACCTCGCCAACGGCCTCACACCTCAAAACCAACCACACAAAAGGGATCGGCCCGCGGAACTGCTCCAATCGGGGAAAAATCCCTTCCCCAGCGACAGCGCAGCCATTCCCTCCAATGCTCCGCCCGCACCCCTCGCAAACTGCTACGGCGGAAGGGGGAGGGCTGCACAAAGCCAGGAGAAAGCTGAAAATGAGTCAATGCACTTAGGGGACGCGGAGGCGGCGGCAAGGGACTCGGGAAAGCCGGGGGGCCGCAGGACTGGAGCTCCCGAGGGCGGCGGGTGGGGGATGGGAAGGGTGGTCCCGTCCAGACCCCGGTCCTGGGCGGGCAGAGGGTGGGGGTGGCGGCGCCGCGCGGAGCATCCGGGAAGCGCCCCCTTCGCGGTCCAGCCCCGCAGCCCCGCACCCCCGCCCCGCGGCGGGCCGCGCCCGAGTCCTCGCTGCAAACCCGAGGAGCAGGACGTGGAAAAGCAGCCGCGGCGGCGGCTGCGGCGCCTACACCGAGCAGCCGATCGCATCACTTACCCCTCACAGTGGCGAGAGGGACCGGACGGGGGAGGCGGGGCGCGTCGCGTCCCGTGAGTCTCTCGCACGCCGTCCTCCCCCCACCTCGTCGTCGTCGCCGCCGCTGTTGTCGTCGCTGCCGCTGCGGTCGAGCTCCGGGGCCCTCAGCTCCGCTGGGCAATAACGTTATTCCACACACGCCCCACACATAGCGGTAACGGCAAAGAGCGGCTGCCTAGTGCGCAGGCGCCTCGGGAAAGGGCGAGGAGCCGGACCCTATCCCCTCCTCCTGCCCAGTTCCAACGATTCCTTACTGCGCAGGCGCCAGACACAGACAATGAAAAGGGGTTGTGCGAGGGTCTCACCCACACGTTTTTCCAGCTTGCCCACTGCGCAGGCGTGCCCCGAAAGACCAGCTAGAACAATGAAGAGGACCTCGGAGTTAGGTGGGACCGCAACCAACAAGGACTACAGTTCCCAGCGGGCAGAGCGCCAACTCCAAGTGGAGGTCCGGTTACTGGGCATGCTAGGAGTTGTAGTGTCGGCCGCCTTTACAATTTAGGCTGTTTGGAGGATTTAGAGCTTCTATTTCTTGAGGATTTATTCGACCGTTTAAAAAAATACCGCAACCGAAGCAGGGTTCAGAGGTTCCTCTCTGCGTCCTTGAGTAACCTAGGGATCAACTGCTGCATATTAGCAAATTCGAAGCGTCAAGGCCTTCAGTGAACCCTTTCTGTCATTTGGGGTGGTCCAGGCGGCAGAAGAGCGGGATGGAGGCGGGACTAAACCAGGCTGGGCTGGAGGAAAAGGGCGGGGCCTGCAAGCCTGTCTCTTGGCAACAGGCTCTGGCAGCCCAACCGTCCGAGCTAGCGCCTGGTGCGCAGTGGTCTCTGGGAATTGTAGTGTAGCTGGAAGGCTCTCAGGATTGTCGAGGTTGGAGGCGCTGAACATGAGGACTACAACTCCCGAGGTCCAACGCGAGGGCCAGTGGGTGGGAAGAGCCCCCACGAGCTTCGTGCGGGATTCTAGGCTCCCCTGTGACAGCCGCGGCAGGAAGCAGGCCGGCGCTCCGCGGCCACAGGCCTGCTGTTTTCGGAAGGGAGAAAGCTGGACATTTCCCCACGTAACTCCCAGCTCTGGGCCTAGAGTGTGTGCATGGCGAAGTCCCCGGAGAACTCTACCCTGGAGGAGATTCTGGGGCAGTATCAACGGAGTCTCCGGGGTGAGTTGCTCCAAACCTCTGTCCCTAGCCCCGAGGTGCCCAGGGCCTAGTGGGCGGGAGCGGACCAGGTGCGTCTCCTAACACCTGGGTCTGCCCCATCCAGGCTACAGAGGAGCAAGATGGATGTTTGCTGTGGTCTTCTGAGGAGGATGAAGTAGTTTGATTTAGTTTTTACAGTTAAGCAACGATGTTTCCTCAGATTCCCTTAGTTACCTGAATCAACTCCTTGATCTTGGCATCCTTCTCAACCAGCGACAGCAGAGACTCTTGGATAGCTCTATGTCATTTTTGCCCAGTTCCCATACTTTGTTGTTTAATCCAATAAAAGTCTGATGCACAGTTTTTACACATTTAAATTATGGCATAGTGGATTGAATGTGATTTATAGGATCCGTGGGGGGAAACACTAATAATTATTTTAATCACAACAGCCCCCATTTAATTGGTCTAGGCTATTTGCATACAGTAAATCATCTGCAGCTTACAACAGTTGTATGAATATTTTACACATGGGGAAATCGAAGCTCAGAGAGGTTGAATTACAGGCCAGAGCCCACACAGCTGGTTAGTTGCAGAGCCAGGTATTATCAGGCTTGTCTGTCTTCAAAGCCTATCTAATCAAGCCATAACTACTATTATCAAAACCTTATTAATTCCGATTGTCTTACCACATTACCCTATGAGCAAGTATCTGTACAAGTAATGTCTGTATTTATTTTCTTTTAAGCTCTGTTGGACTTAATGTCTGTACTTTTAGATGGCGCTGTCACCTTGGACAATATATATGACATCTAGAAATTTCGATTCTGTTATAATGGAAGTTATGGAATTGTCCATAGGGTTATTGTGGGGAGCAAATGAAATAATCCCATAAAGCAGCGATTTTAAGACTCCTTAAAATGTTTACCTATAGTAAGAAATAAATTTTATATGGGACATATGTGTACATATAAACTATAAGTTTCAGTGAAGAATTTTTATTCTACTAAATATAATAAACTCTGCTTTCTATTCTGTTGCATTTTCATAACCCTCTAAGTCATGACTGTTTAGGACATTTGGAATACTAAGTTATGAAGCATATGTTGTTCTGCATAATATGCCTACTATGTGTCAGTGCCTCCTACTATGTGTTAAGCATACCAGGTGCTAGACAGGCAGTAAGGAACAAGACAAAGTTCCTATCCCCATGGAGCTTCTAGATTACTTGGGGAGAAAGACAACAAAAAATTGTAGATTACTATGATAGAAAATAAGGGTAAACATCACTGCTTACTAGACAAGCACTCATTAAATGTTAGTTGTTATTTATACTTGTTACTTAGAGCAAAGTGAAGGTTTTTCAATATTAGAAAGTTTACCTTTCCATGACTCTAGATTTTATAAGGGTTACTATGCATTGTTACATCGGTCAATTGTGTTACAAACTGTCAACATTCTCAGTATTCAAACTGCAGGAGTAAAAAAATTGGTTTTAATGAACACCTTCCTCAAGCTACTGATGTTTCAAGAGCTGTTAGATACAAAATAAACACTTGTAACTTTTCATTTGGAAGCAAGAAAAATACTGTGCACAATGATATGAGTAATTTTAATTTTTAAGATTGGCAAACATTTTTTGTTTTCATTGAAAGTTTTTCCTGATGCTTCTCTTCCTTTGACCTTATTTTAAGTCTTTATATAATTGTTGGAGGCTATTTAACATTAGGCATTTTAACGCAGTAAAGGGGTTCCTTTTAAATTAATGTTACAGTAATATGTTTAATACTAGTGGTACTGCTTTCAATAATTACAGAATGAAGAGTTTTCATTCAAGGATAATACATTTTAAAATTAGTTTGAAATAAAATTTAAATTTAGTGTGATAACAATATAAGGTAGTGGAAACGTTTCACCAGGAGCGAATACAAGGGATAGAAAAAGTTAAACAACTTTTAAAAAATACATAGTCATAATTTTAACAGTGAATCGAGAAATGTAACCTGAAATGTTTATGGGCTTTTCAGGACATATCATTTATTTAGTAGCACTTTTATTTTTGTATGTTAGCTTGTATAACAGCTTCTGGAAGGAAACAAAGCAGAATTAACCCTGAACTTGAGTACAGTCAGAAGTTCTTCACAAATATAAATTGCCGTTTTTGAGTAGTATAATGTCATTTATTTATTTATTTATTTATTTATTTAGAGATGGAGTCTCGCTCTGTCATCCAGACTGGAGTGCAGTGGTGCCATCTTGGCTCACTGCAGCCTTTGCCTCCTGGGTTCAAGCAACTCTCCTGCCTCAGCCTCCCAAGTAGCTGGGATTACGGGCATGCGCCACCATGCCTGGCTAATTTTTGTATTTTTGGTAGAGACTGGGTTTCGCCATGTTGGTCAGGCTGCTCTGGAACTCCTGACCTCAAGTGATCCGCCCACTATAGCCTCCCAAAGACTGGGATTACAGGCGTGAGCCACCGCGCCTGGCCGATAATTCCCTTTAAAGTAAAATATTCTGTTTCTTAATAAACAATGCTGGAGTTATGTGGAAATTCCTTATTTTGAGTGTGCCTAATAATTTAAGAATTGTATTACTATGTAGTAAGATAAAATGCAGTTTAAAGTTCTATGCCTTAATTTGTTTTGGTTTTGTTGGTTTGTTTGGTTTTGTCTACCCACTATTACTTCCCCAAAATGCCTTGCATAGTTTATGATTAATGGAAACTTAATAAACAGTCTGGTCTTTCCTCACCGGTTATTCCTCTGGCTTGTAAGTAACTGCACATGTAGTCACTACTAATATCCCTTCATTTGATATTTAGCTAGGAAGTAGCTGCATAAAAATGCAAAATGCTTTTCCTATTTTCCGTGATTGTACTTCCATTTTAAAAAAATCTTTTCCTTATTTCTTTAATATTGGTACTGTTATGGCATATCAATAATTTGAAGTTCTAATGTGAAAACTGAGTCAGCGTTTACTTTCTTGTTTTTAAAATGAGGTCGGGCGCCGTGGCTCACGCCTGTAATCCCAGCACTTTGGGAGGCTGAGGCGGGTGGATCACTTGATGTCTGGAGTTCGAGACGAGCCTGAGCAATATGGAGAAACCCTGTCTCTACTAAAAATGCAAAATTAGCCGGGTGTGGTGGCGGGCGCCTGTAATCCCAGCTACTCCGGATGCTGAGGCAGTAGAATTGCTTGAACCTGGGAGGCGGAGGTTGCGGTGGGCGGAGGTTGCGCCACTGCACTCCAGCCTGGGCAACAAGAGTGAAACTCTATCTCAAAAAAAAAAAAAAAGAAAAAAAAAATCTTTTCCGCATTTTTAAAATTTTGGTACTATTATGGTATATCAAGAATTTGAAGTTGTAATGTGAAAACTGAGTCAGCATTTACTTTCTTGCTTTTAAAATGAGATCCTTGCCTCATTTTGACCCTGATGATCTTGGAGCAGCTCCACGTTCACCTTTCATCCATTCCCTTAACACTTTTCAGTGATTTGCTCTTTGAGTTCTCTAAAGATACCTCTTGCTTTGGGTCGCCTATGCCCCTTTACAAGAAATTGGAGACGTTTAATGATTCTTCTTCAAAACGAGAGTTCTGGCAGAAAAACCGGAAGGTTTTGTTGCCCCCACGTATCTGTTGTATTATTTCCTACATAGTAAATGGTCTGAAAGTTTCCAGTGTGGTTAAAAGTGGATATATACTGGGTATCCTGGGAACCACAGAATTTAATCTAGAACAGGGAGTGATTTGGGAGGTCTCTTGGCAGTATGGTTAGGTGTTCACTTATTCTATGGGTAGTTATAATTCAACACCCACAGAATGGCCGAGAACTACATTTGTAAGTGGGCAAGATAGCACATGCCCCTTCTCTAAATTCAATACATCATTGTATAAAGCCAAGAGGTATGAAATAAACTATTTCACAGCCAAGAAAGGGTGAAAAAAGCCCCAATCACAGGCAATCCAGGCTCTATTTTAAGTACTGCACACTTGAGTGAAAGGAGAAAAATTGCTAGAAATGCAGTATCCTAGCCTTAATAGCGGAATCATGTCTCATCTCTTGCTACAGCATTGGGAATAGGTAACAGTTTTATCAACATCACCTATATACATGACTCACCTATTCGCCTAATTCCTAGCCACCTTTGGTTGGGTGAGTATAAGGAAAAATGAAACAGACTTCTTGTATGACAGGAACTCATAATTTTGTATATACATTTTGCGTTTTGGTTTTACCCTTTCAACATTTTGGTGTTTCAGCCTTTAGATAAACTTGTGGCAAGAGTGTGGTGGAGTCAGAGGAGAGGATGTGGAACTAGAAGCCAGGTCACTGAACTAACTTTTGCTTTGCTGACAACCATCTGTGTAACCTTAGGCAAGTGAAAGCAACTGTTCTTGGATTCCCATTTCCTCATCTGTAAAATGAAAAGTTTGGACTGGATGTGAGAATTATTGCCTTTAGGTGCCAAGCAAATGATCAAAAGGTATGATGGAGTCAGTGCAAGACATTAGAGAAATGATGAGGCTTATGGCCAAATTGGGCAATTTCTGCTTTTTCTCAAAACATTTCAGTTTCTTTCTTGCTCCCTCCCTCTTTGCTTCCTTTTTTTTTTTTCTCTCTCTTTTTCCCTCTTTTCCTCCCTCTTTTCTTCCAAGAAGGAAGCCAAGCGAAACACACCCAGAGCCTGACTCCCCTTTAGACACCACTCTCTGACGCTTTGATCGTTAATGTTCTTCCCTTCAGCACTTGGTTGGATCAGATGAATGATAAGGGCTGTGTTTTTGTCTTATGGAAATGAGAGTAAGGAGTTGAACCAGGTACACAGAAAGTGAGCGGATGAATATGGAAGAGAATATACAATCTCGGGGATGGGCTTTATCTTTATGAATTGATGTAGTTCAAGAAAACCAAAGATAAGGTTGACTTTCTATGTTTTTCTTGTATATAATTAGCACATCTATCCAAATCCTGCAAAGTGGCTCACAATTGTAGAAGGGCTGTGTTAGTCTTACTGGCCAAC